TATATATATATATATATAAGAAAAGTAAGTAAAGGGAGCCTCTAATCTAAAAAATTAGAAAGCCAAAAAAGAGAAGAAAAAATAAATATATATAAAAGAAAAATCAGTCCAGTTAACAAATGCTAAGTCACGATAGAAATCCAGTAATAAAGAAAGTAAAAAAGTAAAAAGCCAAGCCTCACTTTGACATTTTCATTTAAAAACCACCGCTTATTCAGTTCTGTCAAAACTTTTACAGATTTTTTTCTTTTTCTTAGGGTGTCCTTTTCTCATAATAATGATAAAAAAAAAAGTTCTCACCAAGCCAACACACTTTCTCTTTCAGTCTCTTCCGTTCTGGAGCTGTCCCAAGTTCAGCAGCTTAATGGCTGCCTCTCTGCTGCTGGCAAAAAGGGCTTCTTCTGAATCAACCAGGGACTTTGCGATGTCCCTGGGATCCACAGGATGTGCCCTTCACTGTCGCTGTATCTATGGGACGTTTTAGGTCCGTTTGGACCGACCAGAGGCAAAGATATCGGCTGCAATCTCAGAGCCCCGAGATTGCAAGCCGTATCGTCGTGACGTCAGCTCCACCCTCCTAAATACATGTTTCCTGATATCTTTTGCAATGAAATCTACTATTGCAACTGCAGTTCTACATGAATGCAACCCTGTTCCCAAATCTACACCATTTCTTTTTTGTAACTCAGTCAGATCTTCTATTTATGAAAATGGTCTGCACGTTTGTGCCAGACTATACACTGTAATAAACACCCTACATGTACTACCCAGATATTTCTCACTCATCTTCTCCAGTCCTTTGCTTATGACATCCTGCTCACATTGCTTTAACTTCTCTGTACAGATGTTGTGAGCCTTAGAAGAGAAATGTTCCTTCAATTTCTTTCTGAGGGAAGCTTGTAGGATTTCTTTACTCTTTCCTGATGGTTAAATATGGTAATTTTTCCACTCCTTAGCTCCGTGGACACTTTTTTCTTTGCTCGAAATTTCAAATCTTCTGCAATGCTTGCAACCTAATTTTTTATGGGAAACGTCCAGTCCATCATATTTTTCCCTAAAATCATTGTACTGCTGCAGTGTCCAGCAGTCAGGAAGGTTCCTTTCAATGTCTGATTCAGCTCTACCAGTACCTGATGATGTGCTGGGTCCTTTGTCTGGTCATGGTGTCAATGATGTGCTGGCTCCGCTTTATTCGATGGATGATGTCCTGGCTCTTTTCTTGGGTCCTGATGTGGATGATGTACTGTTTCTTTTCTCTGGTCCTGATGTGGATGATGTGCTGGCTCCACTTTTTTCAATGGATGATGTACTGGCTCTGCTTTCCTCAGATTCCAATGGTTGTGATTGTGACTCTTTTGGATCTCATTTTGTTTTCTTGCTGAAAAAAGCAGACAAACTCATTTGCCTTTTCATCTTGGCAATATGCTGCAAAAAAATCAACAGTGGTTTGGACTCAATTGTTGTTGTAAGTTGAGTGATGAAGACAGTGGCAAGCGAAGAAAGCAGGCGAGGAATGGAGATCAGTGATATTCAGTTACTTTTAAGAGTCCCTGAAACTATAGCTAGGTAGTGTTTAAAAGATGTTATGGAAGAGGAACAAGTTTCACCAGACAAGAATGAGACGGAACTGAAAGTGGATTTGAAAATGACAGTCTATAAAAAAGATGTTGCACTGTGTATATAAAAGAATGGCTGATATTTTCATAATTACAATTCATTAATTGAAAAAGAAACACTTAAAATGGAAATACTATTATAGGGAGTTTGTTATTTTGTGCCAGTAGTGGCACAAAAATCTTTCCTAGCCAAGACTACTTACCTGGACCAACAGTCCCTAATGGCAGAGAGAGAGAAGCCAGGGGATGCCATGTTTGGTCGCCTAACCTTTTTAGAATGCAGCTTAAAAATATACTGAAGCTTTTTACAGCCTTATGCAGATACATGTAGTACCAAAAAAAAAAAAAAAAAGATAATAGTACAAAATCATCTAAGAAGTTAGATTACAAATGGAATTGATAGGCACATTCACAGAGCAATACTGAATTCTTTTTCTGAAATTTATTCCCCAGTTTAAAAAACTGGAATATATGAATTCAGTATTGGGCACTGTAGCTATTCAAGAGGATATAGCAAAAATGATAAAGCAACATATAGATTTAAATTTTAAAACCAGAAATATTTTTTGTTGGTACCCACATAAAGGGAGTACAATACATATTTAATGTTATGCGTGTTAACAGCAGCTAGAATTGTTTGCACAACAGAGGAAAAACGAAGAGATCCCCATAGATGAAAATGAAATTAAAAAATTACAATGTACAGAAATGGATAGAGATAAGAGGAAGAAGTTAGGTGGAGAATGATCATTGCTATGTATGAATTAAATACAGAAGGTTGATAATTATAAACATGTTGATAAAATTAACAAAATTAGAAATAAGTCAATACAAAGAAATTTAAATAATTTTTCTGTTACACTGCTGTACTTATTGATATTTGTTTCTGCTTTGCTTTTTCATTTATGAAATATTTCATAATACTTTATAATATAAGTATAATAGAATTACAGAGGTAAGGTAAAGTAAGGATATATTGTTATAGAATAGATTGGTGATGATGAAATGAACATTGTAAAGTAGATTAAGTAAAAATGGTGATTTTCTTTCATAAAATGATGTAATATTAGTAGTCTAGTAAGTAATTAATAATAGTAATAATATAAATATATATAGTGGATTTATGATATAAGGATTAATGCAAATTGGAAGGGAAAGACTGCAAAGATTGTGCACAAGTGATTTGTATCAACCAACACATTATGTAAGTGAAGATGGTTTATGTTTATGTTTGTTTAAAATAAAACACTTTTATTTTAAAAAAATTCATTTATATATGAATGCAACTTCTTGTTACATTGATGTTGCTATATATTGATTTAAGCAGTAACATACAATTTATAACATCAATGTAACAAGAAGTTGCCTGTGTCCCTTTTGGTAAGTTGCTTTTTTATTTATGTATTTATTTATTTTTTACTATCTGTTTTTATTTTTATTAATCATAAAAACAAAACAGATACTAAAGAAATAAATAAACACATAAATAAAAAATATTTTACTATTCAGCTTGATGTTTCTGTAAGCAAAGGAGAAACATCAAGATGAATAGTAAAATATTTTTTTATTTATGTGTTTATTTATTTCTTTAGTATCTGTTTTGTTTTATGATTAATAAAAACAAAAACAGATAGTAAAAAAGTAAATAAATACATAAATAAAGAGAGCAACTTACCAAAAAGGAGACAGGCAAATTGGCTAGCCAGCTATGCTGGGGTCCTCCCCAGTCTTCTAGCTTGCTGCAGCAAGGATGGCCAGTGCAGGAGTCAGCTCTCGACCGGGATGGAGGTGGCGGTGGCAGGAGGAGGTAGGGGGCTGGCCCATCAGGACTTGTTGCTTTGACTCCTCACTACCAATCAGTGGTGAGAAGGTAAGGCAGTAACCCTTGAGCCACGACTGGTGAGGGAAAGTGGCGGGCTGGTGCCAGCAGCCTAGCCAAGATGGTGACTGCTATGTGGGCAAGGCAGCAGCCCCAACCCGGGGGTCGGCTGGCAGTGGCACCAGCAGCAGGTGGAGGTAGGAGACTGGGCCAGCAGGAGCTGTTGCTTTGCCTTCTCACTACCAATTGGTGGTGGGAAGGGAAGGCAGCAACAATGGAGGGCCGCGGGTGAGGGAAGATGGGGGCAGGCAAGGCAGGGAGCATCAGCAAGGGCGGTGGGTGTCCTGGGAGTTGGCAATCGCCCAGGACTGGCAGCAGTAGGTAGGCAACCGGGTTGGAGGTCGTATTTATCAATCTGCATCTTCAAAGGCCTTTGGGATAGGCAGTCAGGGCGGGCGAGGACAGTTAGCGTCGGTGTCGGCGTCCAAGGCTTGTGTCTTCTTTAAGGTAAGGCAGGCAGGCCAGGAGGCAGGCCAGGAGGCAGGCTGGCCAGCCAAGGAGAGTTAGTGGCAGTGGTTACTGGGGCTGCAGCTTGCCCTCACTCATTCAGCAGGGCGGCAGATGCAGGCAGCGACGGCTGGCTGGCTGGCTGGCCTGGCGGCTGGCTGGCTTGGCTGCTGCTGCTGCTGCTGCTGCTGCTGCTGCTGCTGGTGTGAATGATGGCGCCGAGCGGGAAAATTTTTGTAGTAGTGCACATGCGCTGTAAGTAGGGGTGGGGCGAGGTGGGCAGGGGAGAATGAGGAAGGGATTTCCGCGCGTGCGCAGTAAAAAACCCGTTATTTAAAAAGAACGTTTTTTTTACTTTGGAATGGCAGATGGGGTGGGGGCTGGGGCAGCAAAGGGAGGGGTGGGCAGGGGAGAATGAGGGAGGGATTTTAGCACATGCGCAGGAAAAAGGCCCAGTTTTTAAAAAAAAAAACACTTTTTTTTTACTTTGGAGCAGCAGATGGGGTGGGGGCCAGGGCAACGAAGGGAGGGGCAGGCAGGAGAGAATGAGGAAGGGATTTTCGTGCATGCGCAGTAATAAAAATCGGTTTTTGGCCCACAGGAGCAGCAGAGAGGGGCGGGGCCAAGCAGAGTTTCTTAGAATTACCAGTTCTTAGAACTACCAATGAAGTTAACAACTGGTTCTATAGAACCATTGTGAACTGGTAGAAACCCACCCCTGTTTCCATCCTTCTGAGGTGGGTAAAATGAGGACCCAGATTGTTGAGGGCAATATGCTGACTCTTTAAAACCACTTAGAGAGGGCTGTAAAGTACTGTGAAGTGATATATAAGTCTAAGTGCTATTGCTATTGCTATTTCTCCCCTATATAGAGAAGGCCATTTACCAAATGGGATTTTTTTAAAGAAAGCACCACCTTAAAACCTTCTATAAGTTGATTAAGAAAAAAAATCAAGAAATCATCTGATTAACCAAAGATAGCAGACACCAGTCCGTATTTCATCTCCTGTACTGTGGACAGATGTACAGTGGTACTACATAACAAGTTTTCCATACCCAAGTAAAAAAAAAGAGAGGTACTACCACCAAAAAATAATCAGTAGAAGAACATGCACTATGTCATAATAAGCATGAGAGTCAATTCAAGAATGCATAAGTGACATCAACTACGTCAAACTATTACCATGCATCATTCCAATAACTGGAACAGGTCATTTGTTACTGTCATCTACAATTAATCTCTACCGAACAATTTGGCAGCCTTCTGAATAGTTGGAACACACTTTGAAAATACCTGGGCCAGTTGTCAAGAGATTAAATTATTATAGTTATCAGAATTTGCATGAACTGTAGATTTAGAGACAAGATCCCTAAATAGACTATGATATATGCTTATCGCTACTTGATGGATCCTGGGTATAGTCTCAGTTGGAAATTTGCATATTTACTCCTTTAGTAGCCTCTTGTATAATTTCTTTTGTGTGTAAAAATATTCAGTGATTGAAAAACATTAGCTGCTCAGGCCAACCTATTCCGATAAATGGTTGTCCGATATTTTAATAAAATCTCCAATGTTGGAGCACCCATAACTTCTAAAGGCAAACTCTTCCACTGGTTAATGGTTCTCACTGTTAGGAAATTTCTACATAGTTCTAGGTTGCTTCTCCCCTTTGATTAGTTTCCACCCATTGCTTCTTGTCACATCCACAGGTGCTTTGCAGAATAGCTTGTCTCTCTCTTCTTTGTGGCAGCCTCTGAGATATGGAATACTGCTATCATGTCACTCCTAGTCCTTCATTAAACTAACATTTACTACCTTGTTATGTGTGATTCTTGTTATGTGTGATTCTCGGAATGAAAAGCAATTTTAAAATAATTGCAGAATGATACATGGCTACTAGGCATACATATATAATTTAAAATGGATACCCTCTGAAGACCGCAAAAAATGATCTCCTTCTCAGAATCCTCAGTCATTAAACTATTTATCTTTTAAATCAATTTTGGTTATATAGTTATTTGGAATAAGTATCAAGTGTCTTAACCCAAAATGGCAATATGGTTACTTTACTATTTATATTCTGAACTTAGAGCAGAGGAAATAATAGGAAAAACTGCAGACTGTAGACAGAACATACCTGGTTAAATCTCTTTGGCCATTTGATGGCATCAACAAAAAGGCTGAATGCATTGTCTTTGGGAGCTCTGTGGTCAAATGTTCCCATTTTGACTCGAAGCAATGTTAAGTTTGGAAATGTGATCCAATTGATAATGTCAAATCCTGCTACCAGGTTCCCATTTTGATCAAAAGAAATCATCTTCCCAACACTATTGTTAAATGAGACTTTTCTGAGATAAGGGTGGAACTAAAATGAAAGTGGGAAAAAAGCAACAAAGCTATGCGAATGTAACATAAACAATATAAGAGAAAGTCAGGATATTTCATAGGATTGAATTAGTAATGCCTAAGCATACTATCAATTTTCCTAATTAAAAATATAGCTAAGCAGGTGCTTATTATTAGTGCTTACAATGTGTCAATAATTTAAACATGAAGTCAAACCAAGTGAGGAGAAGGAGGAGGAGGAAGGAGAAGGAGAGAATATAAAGCATCAAGACACCAAAACTAACTGGAATTAAAAGAATTGAGCAAAGAGGCAAACCAAGATTTTTGTATCATATATCAGTGTTCCTAACTCTCTACTACAACTATAAGAGTAAGCATCAGAGGTAAAAAGAAACCCAGCCACCAAAGAACATGATGGCCAGGCACCATCAAAGCTGACATCAACAAGAGCATAGAAAAACTGAAAAAGTAGTTCAAGATCATAGAATTGCTGAATGGATATCATCATCATCATCATCATCACTATCATCATCATCATCATCATCATCATCATCATCTGATAGATAATAATGTTAATATTATAACCTGAAGAGTTCAGGGTATATAGACAAGCATTCCTGAGAGTGGGAGCCTAACTTATGACAATTTCCTTATATTTGTGATTTCAAGACATTACCTGCCAAAGTAATGAATTCAGAACATTCTTCTGTCCTTCCTCTGATATAGTTCTGTGTTTGAGCATTGATGAGCTCATGGATTGCAATGCATGGGCCACAGCATAAATTGCATTGTAGATGCTATAGCTATGAGGAGTTATGCTCATGTCAAAGACAGACCTAGGAAGAGTCTCCAGCTTCTCCTCCCCACTGCAGAGATTCCAAACATTTTCCTCTTCCAAGGAAGTTGGGAAGGAACAATCAAATGCCTGTCTCCAAAAGTCCTTAATAAAACCATCTCTGGTTTCCACATTAGGGTTTCTCATCTGAAGAAAATGTTGAAAACCTACCACCTCCTTTGACTGGATTGCAAAGGCTAAGGAACCATGAAGGATATCTATATCCCAGGATCGTTGAAAGGGAACAGAAGTGAATTCTATCTGTGCCATCATCATCCAGACTTTCCCTGTCTTCATTTCTTTGTCTTCAACTTCCAAAATTCTGGGAAACATTCTCAGAAATATTGTAGTGTGAATTTCACCATGTAAAACCACAACACTGGCAAAGCTATCACTTATGTAGACATACAGTTTGACCCATGATTCCATCATTTCATGAATGCCACTTTTGAAATACACAGTTGGGAATGGTTCTATAAAATCAAAGCAGATACCACTTTGAGAAAACTTGGGAAGTTCTTTCTGTATAAACCTGAGGCCATTGTCATCCTGTATAAAAATGACACCAATCCAGGTCCATCTGAAAAGCAAAAGCAGTTGAAGCATCCCATTATATTGTTGGTTTCTATTAGGGAGCATCCATTGAAAGAAGGCTTGTTGGGATGGGTCATTAATCATAGGAGATGATCCATAGCCAAGCTATAAAAAAGGGGGGGAAAGCAAGATTAAGTAGGTAAGATTTGTGTAGGCAAATTTATATTGTCTGGAGATTGGATATCCATCTCATATTTTAGGAAAGAGTGGAAGAAGATGAAAAGTGATGGGAATAATTCCTGTTAAAGATGGAATTTAACTTTTCTGTATCTTCACCTTTTAATTTGTTATTTACTTCTTGTTGCATATTGTACAATAAAAATAATTCTCCACCAAAATAATTGCCCAAGAATGGGAAAACAATGGGATTTGATCAAATTAGGACTGTAACAGTAGACAGTAATCTTTTCAATCTGGACATGGATAGGTACCTTTTAAATATGTAGAGTACATCAATCAAGACTGTTAAAATGATTTGGAGAGTGGTATTATCATCAACCAGAAAATTATTTCTAAATTCTTAAGATAGAATTGGAATATGTTTCTCTAAGGAATTAAATCATACCTTTGTGGTAGAAGTACCATAGACGTTGTTAAAAAAAAATCCCAAATTTTTGAATTATCAAAATCGAAAATCAAATGATTTTATCTGCAGCATATGAAGTACATACAAGATATTGCTATGATTGCCTTTTTCAATCCAACAGAGGTTTGTGAAATAGAAGTATAAGGATTTTATACTATGCTAAATTGGATGCATGAATAGCCATGTTTTGTAAATGTCCACCAATGAATTAATATATAGATTGAAAAGGGAGGGAGCAAAAAACATTCTTGTGGCATTCCTTTCTCCTTTCTCTCTGTGCCAGAGAGGGTACAATGGGGGTTACATGCAACAAACAAACACGGGTTTGATAGCAATGCCCCACAAACTGGCAAATTGGACTCCCCACTGGTGGAGGCTGATGCATTCCAGCCGATTCCCTGAGCTTTCACTTCCTATTGACAAGTGGAGGCCTTGGAACCTCTAACTGCACCAAACTATGGCCCTTTCATGGGGCAAATATATGTGTCCCACAATAATGTTGCAAGATCCAATCTGGGTCGATCATCAGAACTAGGATCATCAGGCTTCTGAGCTTCTTGACCAGAGGTGGTATTCAGCAGGTTCTCACCATTCTGGAGAACTGGTAGTGGAAATTTTGAGTAGTTCAGAGAACCGGCAAATATTCTGACTGGCCCCACCCACATCTATTCTCTGCCTCCCAAGTCCCAGCTGGTTCTTCTTTAGTTGATCTGCGTAGAAGAATGGAGCTGGAAAGCAGGCTAGTGGGTCAGGGAGGGAATGGGATTTTGCAGTATCCTTCCATTGGAATGGGGTGGGAATGGAGATTTTACAGTATCCTTCCCCTGCCACACCCACAAAGCCATGCCCACAAAGCCACTCCATGCCCACAAAGCCACACTCACAGAACCGGTAGTAAATTATTTCTGAATCCCACCACTATTCTGGACTCATTCTGGAGCCAGGGAAATTCTCTATAGCAGAATGTGTATACATCCTTGAGGATGGGTTCCAGCACAAGTCTGAAAGTCAGAAGACTAATCCGCTGGTCCTGATGACTGACTCAGTTTGGATCTATGCCCCCTTCCCCAAAACTCCATAATGGATGCTGTGAAATGCTAATTCAAAATTTTAAAAGATTCTGCATCAAGATTCATATTTAATACAGAGAATAACCATTCTCTTTAGGATGATGCCACCTTCTTTGTCCCAAATTAATAAAAATGTTCTCGGTGTCTACCTTACCTGTGGTAACTTGTAGATGCTCAGAATGCTTGCCATGAAAAGACATGCTTTGGAGTCAGGCCCCCCAATCACAGCTATAGTAGTACTTTGAGCATTGCATTTATAGTTTGGAATGAAATTGCCCCAGGTGGAGAGGAGCTCCAGTGAAGCAAGATAAGTTAAGCTTCCAGTGAAGTAGGTATTATAAATGTTGAAACCCAGGCAGATGTTGCGTAGCATCTGAGTATCGTCATTGATCTCCTTCACAGCAAAGACAAGAGCCAAGATGTGCTGGTAGGTCTGAGTCAAAAATCTGTAATGAGATTTATTTGCACAGTTGAATTCTCTCTGCTTAAGCAGTTTAAGTCTTACTAAATTCCCATTTCCTTTAATATATTGATATTGTATTTTGTAATATTATAGAATCATAAGATATCTGGACAACTTCATGATGAAACTCAGGCACAAAGATGGGTTCCACCAAAAGTCACTGAAAAGACGGGTTCCACCCAAATTCACTTTGTTTTGGCAGATCACCCCTGGACTTTGTAAAACAGGGACCACCAATCTTTTGGACCTCAGAGACCACTAAATTCATAATTTTAAATCCCACAGACCACTAATATGGTCTGCCTAATGACTGGCTGGGTGGGTGTGGCTAGGTGGTCATGTGACAATGTGTGTGTGGCCAACTGAATGTCACTCAGATTGAGTGTGAGCGGCACCACTTCAGCCTCTATTCACCCTTCCCCTCCCAGTCACTCCTCACCTACCCACCTTGGCTGCTTAGGGCCCCAACAGGAAGCAGTTGGAGCAGTCTCCATAAGAAAGAGTTTGCAAAACATCTGGCTCAGTTCAAATTGGATCTGACTGAGAAGGAGGCTCAGCAGAAGCACTTCACTGAGGATTACAAGCATAGGCTTTCCAATCAGAGGGAAGACCTGCGGGAGTGCAAAGCCAGGTATCAGTGCCTGGGTGGCTCTGTGGGTGAGATGGTCAACCAGTTCCAGGCCATGATGCAGTCCCACTGGAACGAGGCCTTCCAGCTCTTCACCACCATTGGTATTTCCCTCAAGCCTTCCCCCAAAGCCATGCACCAGGAGGCTGAAGCAGACCCCAAGTTGGAATTTCTGTCCCCCTCTGACCTGCACAAAAAGACCTCGAAGGGGAAGACCCTTAACTTCATTGCATGTACCTGGCCGAGGGGATATAGTTTGAGGACCCCTGATTTAGTGCAATATAAAAAATGCAAATAATTTTTCAGAGGACCACCAAAATTTTCTCTCTTTTTTTTCCAAAAAGTTTTTAATTTTTTAATTTTTACAAATCTCTTTATGTGGTCAACGTGGTTCCAGATTATAACACTTGTACATAATCATACTTTCATTTCCACCATGTTATTTCCAAAAATGTATGTCACTGTTAACTTTCACTTTTAACAAGAGTACATCTGTGAGAGAAAATAAGGTATGAATGGAAGGAGTTCGACCAACCACATACCTTAGCAGAAAACAGGGTTTAGCCATAGACTGTATGCCCTACTCCTAGAGATAGGATTTCCATTAGTTGAACATCCTCATTTTGAAATTTGAGTTTCCCATTATTCCAGCCATCTTTCAAGAATGCCGCTTGGTTGAAAATTCATCTTCTGTCACACCCTACATTCAAACCCCATCCTGATATTGTTAGTTTTACTGATTTATATATTTTAATAGCTTTTAGTTGTCTTTCAATTCATAGTCCTTGATGAAAGATGGAAGGTTTTTATAATGGAAACCTTATGATTTATGGTTTAGCTTTGTTATTTGTATGTGTACTAAGAACTTCTGTACCAGGGACAAATTCCTTGTGTGTCCAACCACACTTAGCCAATCAAGAATATACAAATAAAGAATATTCCAAATAAGTTAGTATCAATCTTCCCTGGGTGTTCAGGAAAATGGAAAGGAACAATTCTCTTAAAATTTATTGCAAGTTCTAGAAGAAGTACAATGAGAATAAAGTAATATGTTGCAAAGAAGTGGGGAGGGTAGAATGAGCCACAGTAATGTCCAACCATATAAAATTTAACTGAGCACCTTTCTAGGGAACATAATGTAAAGTGGAGTCTCTTTCACTGGATGAATATTATAGCTCATTGAAACTTAAAGGATAGTAAGTCCCTTAGTTTGATTGAAAAGTAATGGGTGCAAATCTTATGAGACACTTATCACCTGAACTGTTTGATTAAGGTATCAGTTGCTTACATGAGATCTTCAAGGACTTCAAAAGAGGGATGCCTTTGAAAGTTGAGAGGATTGGAAAACATGAAGCTTTGTGAACTAATGCCAGCTATGATAACATCCCCTGACTGGTAATATTTATGGTTGATATTCTGTGGATCACTGTTCATGCATTTAGCAACTGGAACATCACATGATGTCCAAGGAAGCAGTATGAGAATCCAGAGAATAAAGTTC